GCAGCAGCCAATCTTTTTTTTCAGTGTAGGGGACTTATAAAACCAAATGTGCATTAAAATAAAATATGCCTTTAAATAAAATTATATTGCAGGTTTAAATATTATAAAATATTGTTTATATAATATAATTATTATATTCAAATTAGTATAAGGTATATTAAAATTATACCAATTCAATTAGTTCAGTATGCATATATTCATTAAATATCGGACAGTGATCGAGTTGCACCAGTATAACCTATGATACTGCGATTCTAATCCAGGAATCGGAAATCTATCGGCCAGTTAAGAAGTTAAGAGTTGCACCGGTCTACCTTCCGTCATTCGTTATTTCTTGCTATTTAGAAACTAATTTAAAAACTAGGTTTTAGCAACAAAATTTTCGCAAATAGAAAATCATCTTACAATTAGAATTAAGTTATATAGGAATATGACATTTTAAGAACAAACGTTTATTTTGAATCATCCTGTATATAGAATCTGGTTGGACCATGAACATGAACATAATAATGACAATAACGATGACATATCTTAAAAGGACTTTCATATCAGGACTTTGCGTTGCAATCTCTCCGTTCGTAGGACACGTAGAAAAAAAAATAAAAGCACTTTTATTACACACTTCGAGTGGAAGCTATCGATTGAGCGTATGTAAAATGATCGGTTTAATCATTATTGAGATACAATAATCACGATCTTCCGCAACTCGCGGTCTCGCGTAAAAGAACTGTGTCTCCTGATAATAAAACTATTGGAAATAAACTCAAAATTGTCAATATTTAATGAGTTTTCACCAAGTGAGACGCCAACTTAACACAAAAATTCACATAAAAATTTGACTGTAATGTAATAATTCAGCATTTTGGAACATCCGATTAGCGTGTCTCAAAGTAGCGAATAAAGATGAGAAATTATTGTCTGCTATGCCATCCTCGTACGTAAGAAATGACAACTGAATAGTAATTGAATGTGATCAGTGCACTGAATGTCCCAGATATAGTTCTCCAGTTACGGACTCTGTTGAATTTAAAAACGATTTTCTCTTGGTGATGAATGTTCTGACACTTTTGACGCGTGGCTGTTGAGGCCGTTGTGATGACTTAATTTTCAACGTTAAGTTTTTTGCTTGCGCAAGCGAGTGTTTTAACTGCGTTAAATTCGCGATAAGATTTACGCCCAACACTTAATTAAATGTAGGCATTCTTCATTCGATTTCAGGAGTACAGAATGAGTCAGACACATCAGGAAAAAAGCATGGACAAGAAAGAAATCGCTGAGGAAGAGAGAGAAAAGATGCTGAACGTCGAAAACAGTAAGCATACCGGCGTCACACCTGTGCCCGATCTCGAATCCGAGGAGCAGAAACCGAAGAAGATACCAATCGGTGGCATCAAGATGCCTGGATTCTGCCGTACGAAGAGCAAGGAACCGTGCAAGGTATATTATAGTCATGATTGCCACCTTTAAATACTGTTCCGGAAATTGTTGACTCTTTTGCCTAACAGATAAACCATACAGACGCACGCACGCACGCACACGCACACACACGCACACACACAAATGAATCTACATCCGATTTTTGGAAGCTTGATGTACATACGGAACACTAAAATAATAAATAATAATTATTAAGAAATGATTTTTCTTAAAAAAAAAACCTTTTACACAGAAATACAGCTGGAGGCTGATTAAAGTCATGTTATTCTAACTAAAAAATCAAAGGATTATTAACTATAATAAATCGCTATTACGTGATAGAAAAACTAATCTAGCTTACCCCTGTGAAGCTAGCCCTCCATTATTAAAAAAAATAATTTCTTTTGAGAGTTCTGAATAGATTTTCAATAGTTCCAAAGTTCCTGATAGGTTTAAGAAATAGTTCTGGCCATTATATAAAGCAATAAAAACGCGATTTTAAAAATGGGGGGCTAACTTCACGCAACCCCCCATTTTCGAAAAAAAATCATTTTTTTAGAGTTCTGGATAGATTTTGAATAGTTCCAGAGTTCCTGATAGGTTTAAGAAATAGTTTCGTTCGAGAAAGTAAAAAAAAACGTTATTGAAAAACCCGAAATTGACACCTAAAAAACAGCCTTTTTATTTTATTAAGAAACATCATCGTCGTCATGTCCGATGTTCTGTGAAATCGACAATTATTACTCAAATACACACTTTAAAGCATCCTTCACACTCCCACCTCCACACCCGTACTATTTACCCGAATCTCCCTCCCTCCCACTTCCACCCTTTACGAAGATTTCGATACATGTCGACACTTACCGATGTGATCTACAATACCCTTACACACCTACTTACATCTCCTTTCTTCCCTTCTCTCACTATTCCTCACTCCTACCTCCACTTTCACCTTTAATACCTACCTCTCGAAATGTTTCATCACGTTTCAACACAATTCAACATATATCCTTATCGTCCAAATCCCTTCCATCCGCTCTCACGCATTACAAAGACCTCGATAAACGTCGACACATCTAATAGTTCGACGATATGTTTATTCGACATAATTTTCACAAATACGAAATTAATATATTTTTTTAACATTTGTATGTTTGTAAGAAAAAAAATTAAAAATCGATGCGCGTATTTAAAAAAAAGGTCATCAAAATTTAAAACAGATATTATTTCAGGAGAACAGTTATTATCTCCGGAAATATTTGTTCAAATAGCCGAGATTTTTATAGTTTGGTACAATAATTTTTTTCAAGGAACACGAATTGTTGGCGCCTTTTTTACTCTTTTAAAAATTTATTCCATTTTATTTTTAAATGCAGGTGTAGAGAAAGTTTATCTTACTATTCTTCAGATAAGAATAAAATTATTTTCGAAGCAATAATTTGTTTCTTCTAATTATACCCTCCATACTGCTCTTTTTCTTTAAACAATACCTTACGAAAAAAGGTTCGAAGAAAGGAGTCATCGTATCTTTAAAGAAGCGGACATCAAAAAATGAATTTCTCCTATTTATTAGCGTGTATTAATTACTTCAGTTTTTTTTTGTTTGATCGATTTTAGGATGATGAGGCTAAACCAGCGAAGTCTACGGATGCGGAATCAGCTTCCGTGGTGACAAAGGAAACCGAGCAGAAAGCTTTGTCCGCGGAAAAGCCTATTATACCCGTTAAGGATTCTAAGGAAAAGGAAGGTCGCAGGGGAATTTTGAATTCCATTCGGATACCTTTGATGTCGTCCGTTTTCCCCAGGAGAAAAAAAGTAAGTGTCTTTTACGCCTAGAGATATTTTCTCAAATTTTTTAATGAAAAATAATGCCAACATGAAAATTAGATTACAAACTCTTTGTAATATTTAGAAATTAAGGCCCGTATTCAGAATGCGCTTTTATCTCTGAAATTCTATAATATGCGTGACGTAAAGTATAGTATTGTTAGCGCGCTAAAAACATCGCTGTAAGCGCGTTCTGAATACGGGCCTTCCTAATTCTATGAATTTAAATATTAACACACACATAACCATTGTACACACACACGCCATACAAGCGCGCGAGCGCACAAAGTTTCCCAAATCTCTCGTATTACCCGTTAACAGCATATTTCTGAAATCCTTTCAAGAAGAAAGTTCTAAACCAAAATATCTAGGTTATAATAGCTTTTAAATGAATAGCGATTAAAGTTCTTTAATCAGAGAACACAGACCTGACATTTCCCACGCTCAGGCATGATGATATGACAAGTGGTGAAGAGTTGTTATAAGGTTCTCTCAGTAAGATTATATAATAAGATTCTCTCTTCAAGATTATCATACAAATATATGATATTTTTATTAAGTAATTGTTTCTACATGGAATTCATTTGGACATTATATACGCATAATTAATATCGAAACATACCACAAAATATCAATTCAATAGCGAAATGTTATATGTATCAAAATAAATTTATAACCATGTTCATTTGTATGATAAACTTTTGTATGGTAAATTTTCGAAATAATATTAGTAGATAGCGTAATAGATAACATGTAAAGCAAAGTGACACTGCGCTTTACATTCCTTTTCTATCCTGATATATCGAAGCAGCCATGTCCGGTAAGCACCTATGTCAGGCGATCGAACAACCCGCCGCACTGCCTCTTGCAGACAGAGTTCAATGGCCTCCACAATCCGAGCGGTCATGTTATATTACCTATATCACCCTTATTTGTGCAGAATAAGGAATATTGGATTCTATGAATGCACATTGTCTACGATACTACATTCATAGCCTATCGATTAAAATCATCGACATATAGAATGGACTGCTGATGACAGTGGTGGAGGTAGAAAGACGCATAGAATGAGAGGCAGATAAATGGATGAACGTTCTTTCTCCATTTACTAAAGCCTTATTGGTTGTTGTTGATCCAGCAGTACTGTATACTGTATCAAAGTGTGCCTCTAACCAAAAGCGAGAATACGACAGTGTATTACATTGTCACTTACGTAAAATAAATCTTGGTTAAATGTTAATAAAATTAAATAAAATGAATTATTGTGTTTTATGCAAAGTGTGCACTACGACAACCTCTTCATCCAGTTTTCACAGGTAAGTATGTTTCATGTATAATATTACTGCCGTGCTTCTTTACGCGAACCGACGAGTTGCGGCAGACTGAGACAATCGGATCTCTGTAACGGCTGAACTGATTCTATATATGCTCAATCGATAGGCACCACATGGATTGTATAATAAAAGTGCTTTTATTTTTTTTCTACGTGCCCTACGAGCGGAGATATCACGACGCAAAGTCCGGATCTGTGAATTTTCACCTTATTTTTAAGAAACGTCGTCGTCGTCGTCGTCGTCGTCGTCGTCATTGTCGACCGAGAGAAATGTCCATCTCGTTTTTTCGATAATAGATGGCTTTTGACTTAACCAAGCGATGGCAGCATTGCACGTTCGAACGTGATCAACCACACATGACGGCAGCGATGGCAACATTGTCATCACATATATACAATGTGACGCGCGCGTGGTGCAAAAATACGATACGACGCACACGCGGCGCAAATTATTAATTAAAATTAAAATGAAATATTAATTAAAATTGAAATGAAATATCGAGAGTGTCGTTGAAGATCTAGGTATTTACCGCGTCGAGGAAGAGGGTGTCTAGATGTTCACCGTCAAGGAATTAAGCGTCTAGATGTTCGCCGTCGAAGAAGTGGGTGTCTAAGTGTTCACCGTCGAGGAAGTGGGTGTCTAGGTGTTGTCTACATGTTCGCTGTAGAGGAAGTTGATGTCTAGATGTTCGTCGTCCAGGAAATGAGTGTCTAGGTGTTCGCTGTCGAGGAAGTGGGTGTCTAGGTGTTGTCTACATGTTCGCTGTAGAGGAAGTTGGTGTCTAGATGTTCGCCGTCGAGGAAATGAGTGTCTAGGTGTTCGTCGTCGAGGAAGTGGGTGTCTAGGTGTTCGCCGTCGAGGAAATGGATTTCTAGGTGATCGCTGTCGAGGAAGTGGGTGTCTAGGTGTTCGCTGTCGAGGAAGTGGGTGTCTAGGTGTTTGTTTTGGAGGAAGTGGATGTCTAGGTGTTCGCCGTCTCTGACAAGCGATACGATGAGATTATATTTGACTCCAGATAGCAAGAGACAAATGTAGCATTAGTATTAACCGTTAAACTATTCATGTTAGAAAATCTGTCACATCGATGGAACAGAAGAACGCGTATGAACACGTAAGTGAGATTAGAATAAATAAATATTTTCTGCTGCGTTACACAAATTCTCTGCTGTAAAAGACATTTTCTGCTGTAAGGATATATGATTATTTAGTTAACTCTAATAATCGAAAAAAGCTATTTATATAAAACTTAAATGATAAGTATTCAAAAAAACTGCTATTCTACCAAGTTAAATTTTACTATACTCTTATTTTCCAAAAAGAAAGTAATAGTCTTTCTTTATCGTATACAAAATTACCTTTTAAAAAAAAGGGTAAAAAAGCGCTAAGCGTGCGTGCTTCTCGTGTAGAACCACCATTTAGGCCGGTTTCACCAACGTCAATTACTTAATCGGCCGTGAAACTGATGACTAATTACGTTTGCTGTTTAGTAGAATTGACCACTTAGGGTTGACAGGTAATCACCGATTAGGATTAATCGAGTCGATTGAAAATTATTACATGAAAATCATTATATCACAAAATTTACTAAATCTAATGATATATGTATCATCTGTATAAAAGATTTGATATCAACAATTGTGGCGCCAAGTTAAATTCTGTTAATGTTTTTACTAAATCTAATGATATATATGTTTCATCTGTATAAAAGATTTGATATCAACAATTGTGGCGCCAAGTTAAATTCTGTTAATGTGTTTTTACTAAATCTAATGATATATGTATCATCTGTATAAAAGATTTGATATCAACAATTGTGGCGCCAAGTTAAATTCTGTTAATTTAATTAAATTTATCAAAATTTTATGTATTATTCGTAAAAAAGATTTGATAGCCAAATTAAATAATGAATATTAATCTAATATGTATTATTCGTACAAACGATTTGATATCAACAACTGTGTGTGTGGCGCCAAGTTAAATTCTACTACAAAATAAAAAGTAAAACCTAAGTGATACTATCTTTATTATTTACTTAATCCAAATGGTACT